CAGGTTCTTCTGTAACGTCTCAGCCGCCGCGTGAAACATTTGGTGCCGCTCGCGGTCGACATAGTTTGTCATGTGCTCTTTCATGCGTTTATACCTACCAGGGCCACACTCGCTGGCGCACAACTCGTATACGTTGCGCATGCCGTTTGCGATTGTGGGTGTGATATTACGATTGGTTTCGCGCTGAAGCTGCGTCATTTGCTTGATTACCACCGTAGCGACGTTGTGGAGGAGTTGTTCGTAGGTGTAGACCTGCTGTTTCAAGATGGAGAGTTCGGCTAGGCCTACACCGGTTTCTTCCGCTTGCCGCTCAACAGAGCCGTGGAAGGTGTGCAGTAAACGACCAAAGTTGGCGGCGTAGGCGCAGAAAGCGTTAGGCAGGCGCGATTGAAATGCTCGTTCCCATCCATTCGCGAGATGCTTCAAGATCGGATCGACGAGATCGGCGTTGAAATCGCGATGCCCAGCACAGAAGGATCGGAAAACACCATGCCGTCTTACCACAGCCAGATAAGTCGGCCAGGGCAATCCGCCTTGCTCTTTTTTTTCACTCCAGGCTTTGACCGTACTTGGTGCGACGTCTATGGCATCCTTGACCAGCTTCGGTAGCTTGTCAGTTATGTAGTGTTTCAGGTCTGCACGCACCTGATCGAAGCATGCATAGATACATGCCTTGAATACAGCGTCCAAGTTGGCCAACGCGAGCTTCAAGCACTTGATCTGCCTATCTTTATCCTCCCCGGTAGCTTTCGAACCAGTCCGTTCGATGGAGGCCCACAAGTTGAACGCAGTCAAGAGCTGACACAGATTCAGCAAGAAACTGCGGCTGGTCTGAATACGGCCGCCGGCGGTGAGCTTTTTGCAATGGGCTTGCAATTGAGGAATCCCAGTCTCCTCGGTGTTGGTGAAGCCTGGGACAGGATCGTCTTTAACCAATCGACCACATAGCTTCTGGTATGCTCGGCTGCTAACGCAGAAGACTGGCAGGGACTTCGCGACTTGGTCATAGTCTCGTAGTTCTTCGTCAGGATCGAAGTTGTCCTCATCTTCTTCTGCCGCATTTTCCTGGTCCATCTCCCTGATACCGGCGGCGAAGTCCCGCTGAATTGCGACCTTGGAATATTCATTACGTTCGACGATGCACAAGCGGCGGATTTTACCCTTGGTCTCGTCGTTCTGCACCTCATGCTCGCTTATTTGGAGTTTCAGTTCCTCGATCGAACCCTTGATCTGCCAGATTTCCTCTCTAGCATTTTTCCGGCTTCTCCTCAGCTCCTGGAACTTCTTGTAGATATCTAACTCTGAAAGTGCGATCTC